CTTAAACAGGATTTAAATTACTTGTCAACCAGCTCCGTGACTGTGATTCCTTAATATATGGTATCCAGCAAGAAGTCTTCCGGCTTTCCCGTTGAATATTTCTTCTTATAGACTTGCTATACCGCACAATTACCCTGTGCAGGCGATGAGTCACAATAACGTGGCTAAATTATGTTGACCAGACCACACACAATTGACTTGAGAATGGTCCAGGACGGACCGAAACGTCGTCGTCCCCTCACCTTCTAGTGTGGGGTCTGGTCAACACAACTATCCTAATTGCCGCCGTATGAGACGCACCTATATTACAAAAACATGTTTGGCAGATAAGGGTATTATTTTCAATAAATTTCTTGGATGCTAGTTTTGTAGGGGGAAACATGATTGTGTGATAGTAGACCATGGACATAAGAATTGGGTTAACTACAAGAAGGCTCTCGGTCCATGCGAGGTAGTGCATATTTATGTCCATCCAAACTGGATCACATGTCTAACTATGGTTGAAACAAAGTGATCCGGCGTCTGTTACACAGAAATGTTCCAAAAGACAACCCAGTTTATAAACCAGTATTCATGTCCTTTCCTAAGTCTAAACTTTGTCGATTTATACGCATTCCTTAGTGTTCAGTAGATATATTTAACGTTAATAATATCCCCTTTGTTATACCCTTTCATCCACTGGTATACTTAAATTGTCACCCCTTATTCTTCACTTCTCTAGAGAATGTAAAATTCTCACTTGACAGGAATGTTTTCAAAAGTCGTGGAATTAATACTTTGTTCGACGTGTTCAGTTAAACTTGTCCGTTCTATAGCAAGTTGACTAAAGTTGAACTGCATTATCTGTAACAATCTGAAGAAGCAATTATTGATCTATTTTAGGAATTCGTCTGCCTGTGTTGCCAGTTCTTAATATCCAGTCAGTCCCGTCTGAATATTAGATGAACTTATAGCTAGTTGTTTAGTCAGTTGGTTTGTTTGTATTAAGGCAGGTATTTTCTTCCCTGATTCCATGTATGACTAATCATCCTGCGAGATGATAATATTAGATTAACTTGTAGCTAGTTTTTGGTCTACACTGTGTAATCTTTCATATAGAATAGGGTAGCAGCATATTGCTGTGTATACCTAAGCTTGTTAATAACACAAAAAATAAATCCCCGTTGGTTAGTCTATCGGTACACACTACGTCTTTAGCCCTTTTTTTCCTCTATGTAAATTCGCTTGATAAACCCTAAATTAAAATTTGCTATAAAATGTAACGAATATTTTCTATAAAGTTTTGTTATGGTACCCAAAGATATCGGTTATGATTTAGTTTTCTTTTATATAATTTCAATCTAAATTTCTTGGAAATGTTATCACAAACTTGTTACCCTTAGAACAAATCCACAAGGGCCGTGACGAGGATTCGAACCTGCGTCCGGGAGCATCCCAGACACTGCCTTTTGTTCATTTTATGTATCACGTTAGTGTGATCTCCGTGTATTGTTACCCTTAGTTCTTTTAATACGAGATATCGAGCCTTGTTGCTTGGCGTGATCAAAGATAGCCAACCAGCCAGCCATCCTTGCACGTTCTCACAAGATGTGTTTAGTTTAAGAATTCTCAGGTGCGATCTTTCCATTCAGACATGGCGGCGCCGTGATGCCACACACCGGTACACTTCTCAACAAGTTGTGTGTCAATTGGAGGAATCCTGGAAAGATACTCGGGTTGCAAAAAGCTCCTGGAAGGAGATGGGATTGAAATATTGAAATGCTTAATATCACACGTCTATAGTTTGTAAAGTTTCCAGCGCTGGAGATGTTGGTTGTTGTCGAATGCGGAAGTGACTACCACCAATGACGGGACTTGACTCTATAATGTAAACATTGTGCTAATGTGAGGGTAAATTATTTGCTGAGTATCTTTAAAGCTAAAGGAAACATTTTGAAATGTGCGGGCGATCCAGCCAGTTCCTGTTGCAATTGTCATGCTGACAATCTGGGACTGTCAGCATGACTGTGCATCGTGACTCACACCTGGTGGATACGGCGTGTTAGCGTGACGTGTAAAGTCTCTCACCAGAGATAACAGCTGACGGTGGTATACAACGTTACAAAAAGGACTAGTGATCAGCTAGTCACAACACGTACTGTGGGCAGCTGCTGCTGCGAAGCTATAACAGTCTACCAAAATAAATGCAGAAAATGTGGGTTCAACACCATATCATAGCCCGGTGGCTTAATTTAAGTGAACATTCAGGGCGCCTGACAGCTGGGTGGACAGCGCTTCGGATTCGTAGTCCTGAGGTTCCGGATTCGATCCCCGGTGGAGGCGGAGACAAATGGGCAAAACGTTTTTCACCCTGATGCCCCTGTTACCTAGCAGTAAATAGGTACCTGGGAGTTAGTCAGCTGCTACGGGCTGCTTCCTGGGGGTGTGTAACAAAAAGGAGGCCTGGTCGAGGACCGGGCCGCGGGGACGCTAAGCCCCAAAATCATCTCAAGATAACCCTCAACCGGTACATAGACCCTACTATAGGGATGTCATACAAGGCCGCGGGCCATACGCGGCCCACGGTGCCTCACTGTTTGAACGGCAGTTTATTTGTTTTATTACAAGAATGTTAGAACTCTTGTATAAGCCACTAGCACGCATATAGCGTTTCGGGCAGGGCCTTAATCCTAATTTTCCCAGGAACACGACCTGCCAAGTAGTTAAGCAACCGGGTACTCGGTCACTGTTGGGCGAACAGAGGGTACATTTAATAAGGATTGGTGCTCAGTCAATCCTCCCCGCCCAGGATATAAGAACCCAGGCTAAAGCTCTCGCAAAACGCCGGACGAAATGCTTTACCACTGCGTCGCCACGGGGATTAACAGGAGATTGGGAAAAGGTTTTTAAATTTTTGCCGAGATAAAAGGAAAACAAAGGTTTTATGAATGTATTAAGATGTTTAAAATGTTAAACATAATGTTGGAATGATAGCTATTACAATGCCTGAAGCCACTAATACACACGTTTCGGGCAAATTGTGGGGAAAAAATTTGAAACCTAATACTAATTGACTGAAATAAATGAGATTATTAGACTGAAATATTAATACTAGTTGAGTTCAAAAACAAATTTAATTGAAAAAAGGAAAACAAAAAGAATAACTACATGCTGGATAGAATAGAAAATGCAACAAAACAGCAGAAGGAATTTTAAACAGATGACAATTTTCATAAAATTATACATGGCATATATCAGCAGTTAAACAAGTTGGTCAATAATCAATATGGATTGAAAATAGCAAGACAGGTTGACATTTAAGAGAAAAGGACGGTTACATGGAGTTTATAAGGTAGTACTTGGTTTTTCTCTTAAACTGGTTGAGAGGGATACAGTCTTTGACATGATTGGGACGGTCATTCCACATTCTGGGTCCCTTGATTTGTAGAGCATTTCTAGTTTGGTCAAGTTGCACTCTTGGAATATCAAATAGGTATCTGTTCCTGGTGTGATGCCCATGGGTTCTGTTACCTTCTAGAAAGCATTTAAAGTCAGGATTGGCATTACAGTTCAGTTTTAAATACATAAAGTACACTTGAGAGGATGTGCTGCGACTCAAGTCTTTGAATGTTAGATGTTAAATAGGGCATTTCCCCCCCCCCCCCTCAAAGTTGTAACAGTAGAACTGTAATATAGGAAGTTCATAGATTTAACATTGAAAGTTGGTAGTAAATCCACCCAGTCTAGAGGAACCTTGCTTGGAAACTAGTTAAGAGTAGGCAAGCATACCATTAGGATTCACGGGTGATCGTATCTAACTTAATTTAATGAACAGGCAAGTACGAGGCTAGAGATATAAGATATAAGTTACACTCAACGGCTCAAAAGGAGCCGTTGAGTGTAACCAGCTTGGATTGTCAATGAGCAATCCGAGAGCAGCAGTACACCGAGAACTTCAACAAGATCTTGTAGATCTGAGGCAAAGTGAAATTGTCACCAGTAATTCCATCTATCATCATACTATTATGCAAGAGGAGCCACACATCTATGGATCATCCAATAAAATCAGCAGACTTCTAGATGTTACTACTGCTCGGCTTAGACTCGGTTACAAGTATCTCTGGGAATTCTCATTATCTGCTGATGTAGACCTGACCAAATGTAAACTGTCAACAAAATTATTCGCACACACCCTCCGTCACTATGTGATGGAGTGCGAAATGATACGTGAATTTAGAGAATTCTATAACCAATGTTCCAGCGATGTGTCAATATTTCATTCAAAATGATCTGCTACCAGAAATTTTAGCCAAATATCCCCAGTTTGCTAACTGTAGGTAGTAACCAAGTGATTGTAACCTATCCACCCCTGCCCACTGGATGGGGGGCGGTGTGCAGGACAAACATATAAATTTTGACACTAGCTCTCCACATATGTCAGTTGCTTAATTTAGAACCTGTACTTGAGGTCTATCTCGAACCCATTGTTGATGTGACGACTTCTATTGAATTTTGTAACTAGCTCATCAAGATTGTAACTTGCTTAGCTAAATGAATTGTGGGGGTTCAATCCGAGCCCATTATGTGCCTCTGTAACCCTTTCTACTACCGCCCACAAGATGGGTATGGGGTGCATAATAAATGAACTAAACTAACTAACCACCCATACGAAATGGGTTGAATAATTGTACAATTTAACATTTAAGCCATGAATGGAACTGAAGAAATTTTAGTAATTTTAGCTAGACTGACTAAAATGTGTGCGCATGTTACAGATCCTCTGAAGCTGGGCTCGGATGGCCATGTACACCAACCACTGCACTTCCGCAGGGACCAGAGCTCTGCACCAGACTGGATGGTGGCCACAAATGCCAAGATAAAGGAGGCCAACGCTTTTGTGATCGTCACCCCAGAATACAACTGTGCACTGCCCCCAGCTCTCACTAGCACCATGAACCAGTATCCCCCCGACTCCTACAGACACAAGCCTTGTGCTATAGTCTGCTACTCCATGGGTTGGTCCTTAAATTTAGTTTTTGTTGCCTGAAGTTAGGTTATTGGAAAAATATTCTAAGAGCATATAGAGCCTGATACTTGCCTTAATTAGGCAAGTTATTTAATATTGCTAAATTATTTAAGAATGTTCTTAATTACAGCACTTGCTTCCCATAAACTTTAACAACTATTACTAAAATGCTACAGTAGTGGAACCTCGAGTGACGAGCGGCTCTATCCACGAGCATTTCGAGTAACGAGCAAGCCACTCGCCGAAATTTGTCTCGATTGACGAGCTTTTTCTCCATTAACGAGAAAAACACATGGTGCTTCCTAGCATTCTCGCGGGTTCTCGCAAATTCTCGGACGCCTCCGACGACAGTGTTGTTGTATCGCGCAGGACAAGCATCCCTCTGCATATATTTGTGTTTTTCTTTGTTTTTTGTGGTTTTGTGACTACAGTTTGTAACGCACGATGTCGCCAAAGAAGCTACTTGATAAATATAGCGTTGTCAAGAGGAAGGACACAATTACTGTGGATTTGAAGAAGGAAATCATAGAAAAGCATGTGACTAATCTCACCAGGGAGTATGGCCGGTCCTCGTCAACAGTTTGCACCATCTTGAAGAGGAAGGAAGAATTTAAGAAGCCTGAAGTGGCTCAAGGCATTACCAAAGTTACCAAGAAACGTCCAAAAATCCTAGATGTTGAAAAGCTACTGTTGATCTGGATGAATGAAAGGCAATTACATGGCGATAGTGTGTCTGAAGCTATTGTTTGTGCTAAGGCAAAGTTGCTGTATGTCAACCTAGCTTGTCAGGAATACACCAGGCGCGTCGTCTGAAGATGAGGAGATATTTAAGGCAAGCCGTGGATGGTTTGAGAAGTTTAGGAAGAGAAACGGTATACACAGTGTTGTGCGACATGGGGAGGCTGCCAGCTCTGATAAAGTTGCTGCCGAGAAATTTGTGCCAGTGTTTCAGGAATTTGTTGCTAAGGAAGAGTTCTTGCCCCAACAAGTTTTTAATTGTGGCAAGACTGGTCTGTATTGGAAAAGAATGACGAAGAGGACCTACATCACACAAGAGGAACAATCTTTGCCTGGCCACAAACCGATGAAGGATCGGGTTACCCTCGTGCTCTGCGCCAATACAAGTGGCGATTGCAAGGTCAAGCCGCTGCTCGTCTACCACTCAGAAAATCCACGAGTGTTCAAGGCGTGTAAAGTGCACAAAACGCGACTGAATGTGATGTGGAGGTCCAATAAGAAATCCCGGGTCACGCTGATATTCTTCAGTGAATGGGTCAATGACGTTTTTGGCCCCTCGGTGAGGAAATATCTTGAAGAGAAGCAGTTACCACTCAAGGCCTTGCTTGTGCTCGATAATACTCCTGCACATCCTCCACAGATGCAAGGTTTGTTTCCAGAAAATCAGTTCATCACCATAAAGTTTCTTCCTCCCAACACCACTCCACTCCTCCAACCCATGGACCAGAAAGTCATTGCCAACTTTAAGAAGCTCTACACGAAGGCTTTGTTGGAGAGGTGTGTGGATGTAATAGAGGCTACAGAGCTGACCCTCAAAGAATTCTGGAAGGACCACTTCAATATCCTGGGTGGCTTACGTTTGATCGATAAGGCCTGGGAAGGAGTGACACAGAGGACTTTAAACTCTGCATGGCGAAACCTGTGGCCTATGGGTGTCCATGAGCGATATCTTGAAGGTTTCGGTCATGCACCTGCACCTGTGGACGACCCGGAAGTACATCTAGTGGATGATATTGTTGCTCTGGGGCAAACTTTGGGTCTGGAGTTGGATGCTGCTGATGTGCAGGAGTTAGTGGAGGAGCACAGTGATGAACTGACCACTGAGGAACTCTTGGAACTTCTGGAGGAGCCGAGTCAAGAGGAGGTACAAGAGCTTTTATCAGGGAAGGAGGAGGTAAGGGACGATTCTGCCCCTTCCCGTGAGATCAGGGAAGTGTTGGTAATGTTTGAAAAGATAACCGCATTCTTGGAAAAGCATCACCCTGATAAAGCAGTGACAATCCGGTCTGTGAACATGTTTAATGACAATTTGCTGTTTCGTTTTAGGGACATCCTAAAACGAAGACAAAAGCAATTGTCAATAGATACGTTCTTTGGAAAGGTAAAGAAAAGTAGAGCAAGTGATAGTGAACCACAACCCAGTCACAGTGGGGTGAAATTTCCAAGGAGAGCGAGCCCGCCTGACTCAGAGGTGGACTCTCCTTCCACACCCTAATCCCTCTCCTCCTTCCCACCTCCCCATCGTCTCCCTCAAGCCAGCAACGACTCTTCATAAGGTAAAGTACATGTACAATTGAAAACGGTAAAACAAAACATTTATAATTACATGTACAGTATTATATTTACATTATAAAATGTCATATTGATGTTTGGCCTATATTTTGAGTGGGGAGTCTGTATAAACAACTGGGCCTCTACCCTTTCAGACAGATTTATTTGCCTTGCTCCTTGCACTGAAATGTGTAAGTCTCCAAACTTGATACATTAATTGTGACTCTTTATCATCCTTACATGCTCTAAACTAAAGACATAACTGTAACATGCTCGTGTCCGAAACTAGACACAAATACAAAATTATTAATAATGGTAACAGTCCATTTCATGCGGTCTCCATCTCATGTTGGCCTCCAAATGCATGATAGAGCTGATGAGTTAGCCAAAGAATCTGCCTCTAAAGGAGACGTTGAGTGTAACCTTGGATTGTCAATGAGCAATCTGAGAGCAGTAGTACACCAAGAACTTTAACAAAATCTTGTAGATCTGAGGCAAAGTGAAATCGACACCAGTAATTCCATCTATCATACTATCATGCAAGAGGAGCCACATATCTATGGTTCATCCAATAAAATCAGCAGACTTCTAGATGTTACTACTGCTTGACTTACTCTGTTGCAAGTACTTCTGGGAATTCTCATTATCTGCTGATGTAGACCTGACCAAATGTAAACTGTCAATAAAATTATTCGCACACCCTCCGTCACTATGTGATGGAGTGCGAAAAGTTACGTGAATTCAGAGACAATTCTACAACCAATGTTCCAGCAATGTGTAAATATTTAATTCAAAATGATCTGCTACCAGAAATTTTAGCCAAATATCCCCAGTTTGCTAACTGTAGGTAGTAACTAAGTGATTGTAACCTATCCACCGCTGCCCACTGGATGGGGAGTGGTGTGCAGGACAAACATATAAATTGTGACACTAGCTCTCCACATATGTCAGTTGTTTAATTTAGAAACTGTACTTATTGTTGTTCTCGAACCATTTATGAAGTGACGACTTGTACTGAATTTTATAACTAGCTCATAGATTGTAACTTAACTAAATGAATTGTGGGGTTCAGTCCCTAAGCCCATTATGTGCCTCTGTAACCCTTTCCACTACTTCCCACAAGATGGGTATGGGGTGCATAATAAATTTATTTATATATATACAAGAAGGTACATTGGGTTTGTGAGAATACATTGGATAGTACAGTATTTACATTCTTGTAAAGCCACTAGTACGCGCAGCGTTTCGGGCAGGTCCTTAATCTAGCAGATAATTTTAAGTAGGTAATTTCAATCAGAATTGATAAATGATAGATACATTACAAGAGAAAAATGAGATGAGAGAGATAAGTATATTAAAGCACATTGTTATATTAAAGCTCTGATTGATTACATTGACAGCTTGATTAGTAATTTAAACAAGATTAATAGACACCATACAGCAGATTGACATGAACTAAACTAAACAGATTGACAAATGAACTAAACTAAACTTTGGGGTGGAATGTATTAATTTTATTTCCATTATTTTGAATAGGGAAATTTGTTTCACATGAGCTCAGTGCCGAAACGGATTAAATTCGTTAGAGGCTTCACTGTATTTGTAAATTTAGATCTAATATATAAAATATATAGTTACGACAAACTTTTTGTTTTTTAAGATATTAATCGAGACCTTCTTTCAGAGGTCAGATGTTATGCATACAAGTGACGACAGATTTAACCTCAAGTTGCAATACTATGTATGCAGAAAAAGATCTTTTTCACCCAAAGGGTTAGTAGATGGGGTATCTAGTGATGCCTGGATCGACTAGAGGGATGGTGGTGGTAGAGTAAATTCAGGAAATACTAAGGCTTAATTTTAATTGGACGAGACTTTGGTGAAGTGCTCAGGACCTCCAGTTATCAATGTGGTGACTAATTGCTCATGGTGATTGTTGCTCATGTCATAAATTCATTATCCTAATGAATTAATCATTTGAATCTCAATTCATCTGTAATTGGAATTTCTTGGAATTACAATTAAATTAACTATCAAATCTCATTTTATTCCTACTTGAATTGAACTAGTTTTTACTTTTATAAGTAATACTAGAGATATATATTTGCTTAATATTGGATATCGGCTTTCATTTTTAACATTGTATTCATCTCCCTATTTGTATATTGTAGATGTCCAATTTTCACCTTTTCTCACACACCTCCATACTATATTATGGGGGCCCTCACAGCTTGGTGAACAACACTCAGATGGTGGTGGTAGTCCTAAGGGTTCGGTTCGATCCCCAGCAGAGGCGGAAACAAATGGGCATTTTTTTCACCCTGATGCCTCTGTCCACCTAGCAGTAAATAGGTACCTGGGAGTTAGACAGCTGCTACTTGCTGCTTCCTGGGGATGTGTGTGTGAAAATTAGGATTAAGGACTTTCCCAAAATGCCATGCTATTTACATGTACAGAACCTTAAATGCTAATCTTAATCTGAAACTTTTCCTCGATAGGTGTAATAGAACCCATGAGTACCATACTAGAAATAAATCTTTGATATCCCCAGTCAAACTAAATCTGTGCGAACACTCCGAGCAGATAAAAGGACCCAGTCTTTGGAACTCGCTCCCTAACGAATTAAAATATTTTCCAACCAATGCCTTATTCAATGTTAAAACTAAAAAGTACCCAATTTCATCCTCGGTTTCCTACCTTGTGCTTCAAACTCACTCTTTTGTACTACCATTTCCCCAATATTAGTACTTAAGACTTGTATATTTACCAGTGCAATTACCTGTAAATTTGTATTGGAGTTATTTTTTATATAAAACCTTGCTACAATGTGCCTTTTCATCTTGCCTGATATGTAAGATTAAGGACCTGCCGGAAGCTATGCATGTTAGTGGCTTTGCAAGAATGTACAAATATCAATCTTATGTAATCTCACCAACCCATTGTACCTTCTTGTGAATAAATTGATATAAATGTACTACAGGTAGCACTAGGTACTAAACTTTCATTATCTTAACAGAAATATGGCTAAGTAAAGACCATATTCAACTATGTAATTTAACTGGTTATAAAGCTATTCCTAACTACTGGCCAGACAGTGGGGGTGGTACAGTTATCTATTATAAAGATATCTTCTCATGCACCAGTATAATTAGTGATTCCTGTGAATCTCTGCTCAATTCTCAATCGAATCTCTCAAATCTCCTATATTTATTAGTTTATAGGTTTCCCAATACCAATACTGTATACTATAACAGCATTTTCAAACAATCTGAGGAATCTACTCATAAGCAACAAAAACTCTAAAAATCACATTTTAGGTGACTTCAACATTCACTCTTGTCAACAAGATAGCCCCCTAAGTTGACTACTATTGTAACAGCATGAACTCCTATATGCTAATCCCCACAATTGCCAAGCCCAACAGAATCGCCCAAACATCTGCTACAACCCTGGACCACGTATGGACTAATATGACACTGTCTTTCTTCTGCTATAATCACTGACAAAACCAACTACTGTACTATCCCACCTTCCTCATAACATAAATACATCATTGAATACCAAGAAATACATAATTAGCTTTGACTACATAGCAAAGCAGCAATAGGCAACCTCATAAATGCTCTTAACAATATAAATATATCGGAGGTATACTTGAATTTCCCACAAAATGCCGCAAGGCACAGCATGAGGAAAATAGCCGGAAGGCTACGCATGAAATATCCCACAAGGCAAAGAAACTAGCACTGAAAGGCCACTGCAGGTGGGCCGGAAGGTCCTAGTCTGAAAAATGGACCACGACTGAAGTGTGAGCGAGTTGACGCCCAAACAAAGTAACTACATTAGTTATTTTGATAAGTATTTGAAGATTGGTTTGCAGTGTCTTTCTTCAACTAATCCATCTTTAATTTTCAGGTCAGTTTGGCGGAGTTAGAGCTGCTGCCTTTGCACGGCCTTTCCTTAGTGAGCTTGGCATGATTAGCACCCCTTCAGTCTGTGCTATACCACAGGTATGTTACTCTTGTATTGATTCTTGTACAAAGGCAAGAAAAATTTTTTGAAACTATGTACTTGACTACCATTTGGGCACAACTCCTTTCACCTAATGTTCTATTCATCTAGCAGTAAGTAGGTACTCAGGTGTTAGTCAGCTTCTTGTGGGGTTGCATCCTGGGCGGGGTCAATAATTCGGCCTTGGGGTGGGGGAAGACCTCGATAAAAGCCAAACGTGTATGAATACACCCCGGCTTCCTGTCCCGACACAATGAATTTAGTGAATTAACATAAATGAGGTACTAGTACTTTATTATTTTAAATTAAATGTACATAGTACAGTATTTTATTGCCAATGAGGCTAGTCCACAATCCAAGACCCTTATTTGCATGGGAAAATAGAGCTTTCAAACTTCCAGGGAAGTTGCTCAATCTGGGATAATTATTTAAGACCTTATGGAGAGGTCGGTGTAATTGCATAATTTAAGCCCCCCTCCCCCTGGCCTCGTTATTTGTGGGAATTTTAGATTACAGATTACTAGACATAAATTTTGGTAAAATAAATCGTGAACACTTTCATGATTGTTCACTGCTGGTTTCTCTTCCAGCGTTACAATAAATGTTTGAATTTCTTGTTCATATACTGTACCTTGCTGGATGGATTTGTAAAGAATAATTATTGTGGTTCTTTAAATCTGCTAGGTTGAGTGAATTCAGTGAGCTGGTTTGGTGTAAATCTGAATTACATTTGCTTTGAGTTTTATATTAGGTTCTGGTATTTATTTATTTTTACTTATTTATATATATAAAAGAAGGTACCTTGGGGATTAACAAAGAACATAGAAATGAAGTTGATTTTACATTTTTGTAAAGCCACTAGCACACATTGTTTCAGGCAAGTCCTTAAACTAACAGATAATTATAAGTAGATAATTCATAGTATAATTGACAATGTTTATAGGTAATTCACAGCTTTACTTTACAGGTACAGAAAATTTTAAGTAGCTAAATTACAGTAAAATTGACAATTATTACAGGTACATTGTAAGAAATTGACACAAAAACAAAGATTAGAATAATACACAATAATAATACACTATAATGAACTAGAATTACTAGGTGCATTAGGATAACAATTTAGGGTTACATTGGTTCACTGAATCTCAATTTGAGGATCGTTTCAAGGAATAATGCAGTAGAATATGCACTCAATATAACAACCATGATATCAGATATCATCTAAGATTACAATGGTAAAGTAATATGACTTGGGTACAAACATTGGGGGATTGGGTAGCACTAGATACAGTGTGAAGTAAAGCACTAGGTAGAAAGCTATGAAGATGAAATTAGGTACTTTTTGGTTTTATTTTTGAATAAGGCAAAAGTTGGGCAGTTTTTAAATTCATTAGGGAGTGATTTTGACCAATCCACACTAGAAAATGAAGGGACGATGACGTTTCGGTCCGTCCTGGACCATTCTCAAGTCGATTGTGATGGGAGAAGATGACTGCAATAAATAGGCGAGAGAGAGGCAAGGAGCAAGGCAAAATGTATGCAAGGTAAGGTGTAGTGGAGGGGATAGTAACAGGAAAAAGAACAAAGGTATAATAATAAAAAAAAAATACTTTTTCCTGTTACTATCCCCTCTACTACACCTTGCATACCTTTTGCCTTGCTCCTCATTTCTTGCCTATTTATTGCCGTCATCTCTCTCCCTCATCACAATCGACTTGAGAATGGTCCAGGATGGACCGAAACGTCGTCGTCCCTTCATTTTCTAGCGTGGATTGGTTAACGTACTTCAGCCATGCTATTGTGACTCATCGCCTGCATTAGGGAGTGAGTTCCATAGACTTGGTCCCTTTATTTGCATAGAGTTTACAGATTAAATTTGACTTTGGGGATGTTAGATATTTGTCTGTTATGGTGATTGTGTTCTATTACATCTGTCCAGGAAGAGTTTCACAACAGGGTTTGCACTTAAAAGGGTTTTATAAATGTAACTGTCACAAGAGAATGTATGGAGTGAATTTGTTTAGCGTGTTTAGAGATTTAAACGGGGACTGTGTGTTGTCTGAAAGCAGAGTTTGTTATTATCCTGATAGCAGATTTTTGCTGGGTGATGATGGGCTTAAGGTAGTTTGCAGAGGTTGAACCCCATGCACAGATACCATAAGTAAGATGGGGATAGATAAGTGTGTAATAGTGAGAGGAGAGCAGAGTAGGGTACATAATATCTGATCTTAGAGTATACCAACTGTTTTAGAAACCTTTTTAGTTATGTTGTGTGTGGGTGCTGAAGTTAGTCGCTTATCTAAGTATAGGCCAAGGAACTTTACATAATTTTTATTGCTAATGTCTATCTGAAGCTGAATTGCATTTCTTGATTTGCTTCCAAATATTAGTTGGCTTCGTTCTTGACTTGCAATCAAGGATCTCTGGTGGGACAGAAATGGTTGGACACATTTCCTTTCACCTAATGGCACTGCTCACCTAGCAGAAAATAGGTACCCAGAAGTTGGGCAACTGTTCTAGGTTTTATCCTAGAAAACATCAGTAATTACTTGAGGCCCTCAATATAAACCTAACAGGGTTGTCTGGACAATGGGGAAACGATAGTCATTAATACACTGTAATCTTATTCACCGTCCCTTTTCTCTCTACTCTTTGGATGCTCCGTACCTATCAAGGATGCAAAGCTTATTGAATCCCAAATGACTTAAAGTATACAGTCAGTACCTTGTACTTATTGAACCCTCTGCTCAGCATGTGGAATGAAGATTTGTGATCTAACGTTTGGATTAAAGAGTTTGGAGCATGAAGGAGAATAAAGAATCTTCCTCCAGACATGCATTGGTATTGTGGGCTAGTTTGAATATATTCATCGCTGATTAACTTGATTTTAAATATCAGCAATGTGCATTGTTTGGTTTGGTCTCAATATAGGCAACCATCTAGTGAAGTGGTGGTGTTGCTGTCATATTAATTTTTGTCAGCAAAATATTTTTCCAGCTAGTTGTCTTTGCTTGGAATTTAGAGCTGTTCCTTTTATTTTGCAAGGCTTAAGTGTTTAATATTGATGAACTTTTTTTTACTATTATATCTTGGCATGTGCTCAGCCACTGATAGGTTGTGAACTGTTTCTATTTATCTAGATTACTTGCAATAAGCACCATTGGTTACATTCATGTGTGTGTACAATAGTGAAGCTAGCTCATTTCTTTTAAGATATGAATTCAATAATACTCATGCTTTTTCTCTATATTCAATGTTTGTGAACTTTTACGAAGAACCGACATGTGTTTTCTGCAGGGAGTATTAGTGCTGTACAGTATTTGGATTGATTTACAAATTTTTATTAATTTTAATTGCCAAATTAAAAATTATTACAAACATGAATGTTTCCATTGCCTCTAAATACAGTATAATCACAAATGCTGTAACTAAAGAGGTCACTATGCGTCTGCACAATAGTGAAGTATATCGGCATTGAATATCGAGAAAGTAAAGCGTGAGTTACCGAATTCATATCTAAAAAGAAATGAGCTAGCTTCACTATCGCACAGATGCATAGTGCGCTTTTTAGTGCTCTCTTTAATTTCCTTGTTGGTAAATAATGTTTATATTAACAGGTCCAAGGGAAGTTTAGTGATGAAGAGTGCACAGACGAGAGGATAAAGAAGAACCTAGACAAGCTCCTGGATGAGATCCAGTGGTATGGGGCAGCCATTTCTCAGAAGATAAAGGCTGATGGCATCCCTTAATTGGTTTTTGACCGAACACTTTTGAATGGCCTCTCCTTGTTTACTTGATAATATGGCCAACACTGTTTAACCAGAGTGCAGAAGCATAATATAGTTGTAAATGTTCAGAAATTAAGTTAATCTTTTATTAAAACTGTTTTGAGCCTACCATGTAGGCCTTGTGTGCTATACTGTACTTGCAATTTGCATACTATGGGTATTGAAAAAAAAATTGTAAGGCATCTTCACTAATTGTATTGAGGAGGAAACGGCATCCAAATAATGATGCAAATTTAGTCCCACTACTATAATTGTGTGCATTTCACAAGCTGGTAAGGTGATCAGTCAGTTTTAGGTGCCTCGGCAAAACACAGCATTGGCCTTGGTTATGGGCATATAGTGACATTAAATGTAAACCTATCAATTAAAATTTTATGCCTTATTTCTAGGTGCTTAGATTCATGAATTGAATGATTGTGTGATTTAAGATTAATTTAAATTTTTTATTATAAAGTAACACAATGTATTGACGTGTTGAGCCTACAAAGCTCTAACATTGTTAATTTTCCTTTTTAATGTTCTACAGTATTTAAAAATATAATCCCGTTTAAAAATTCACCAGGTTATTTATTCTAGAACAAACATCCTTCTAAATTTGAAATGTGAACAAATTACTATGTAAAGTCTGTGAACAGTAAAATGCAGATAGTTTTGTTTAAGGCCACTAAAATTATTTGGTGAACCAGTAATGTACATAGAAATTCAGAATGATGTGTAACTGAAATTCAGAAGCCATCTGAGGGGAAGAGATCTAATGTCCATGGCACTCTAGTACTCACACTTACCAGAGTTATATGAAGCCTAAGAGTACTGGTGGCATTCTTAATAAAATCACTGTTGAAGGTACCCCTGATGGTACCTTCAACTTACTTACCAGTAGGTATCTTGGTGTGTTTGGCTGCTGTACTAATAGCTTCATTTTTGGCTTGGCATGTGTGCGCTTGGCAGTGCCACTGATGCTGAAAAACTATTTTAATGACTTTGTATATGTAAAGTGAGTTGTTTATACAGCATCTGTATTATGCTGAAATTATTCTTGCAGGATTATACCTGTCTTGGGGTGATACTGATTCTGCATGTGTATTAGAGGTAAATGCTTCGCTTTTTAGTTGGTTTATTAAATGTACAGTGTAACAATTAACCACTGTATCACAACCTGTAACAAATTGTGACCTTTCAAGATGTATTTGGAGATGGCAGGAGAGATCATCACTTTCATGAATACCCGAAACAACAGTCCATTATGGGCTCACCGTAATCTGTGCTACTTGGAACTTTTTGTTCCAGGTAGCGAATCTTGAACAACCGAAACAGGAAATAGACTGAGCACAGTTCACTTACCTGGTCCACTGCAGGTCCAACCTCAACAGATTGTTACAATAGTATTAGTAATAATAATATAGTGTGCAATAGACATGGTTTACCTAGTAGGTAAAGGAGTTTTATATCATAACTTTTCTCAAATAGCATACAGAACATAACCAAGTTTGAAGCCCACAGGAACCCTAAATTTAAACTTAAACATTATTGCAACAATGATGGAATTGGAAGAAATTGAAATAAAAATGATCTTAGAAAACAACGGAAGGTATTTTACCTAGTGGTACATAATCAATTATCCCTCAGATTTAAAGCAAATAGTAGTGTAAAATACTGAAATGGTGAAATATCTAAAATGAAGGAAAATCCAAATGAAATATTTTTTGCTACAAGGTTCCAATTAGGCTATTGTAATTATTGTACAGTCTAATCTTGCTCTATGGCACTTCCACACTAAACAATCTACCATCTTTGGCACATTTGCTCAGTGATTCTATCTTGAACTCATAATAGTAATTTTCTGGAAGGGTGACCATGGTTTGATTGCACTAACCATTCATATGATCTAAATTTTATTGCTCTTTATAGCATCAATGGCAATTTTTCCACCGTTTAATATCTTAAACCATGGTTTAGTCACAGGTGACTGAGCTAGTGCCACACAGGTGTTCAGGTGTCTGCCCTATGTTGGCCTCTGTTTTGGCACTGAGATGCCACATGGGTTACCTGTATAATCTACTCTTTAGGATAGTAAATTTACTATGCAACCCATACCCATCCTGTACTCGCATAGATGTACTTGCTGGGGTTGAGCTATGGCTCTTTGGTCCTGCCTCTCGGCCCTCAATCTACTGGTGTAGATTCCTGAACTTTTTGAGCTCCATATCTACATTTTGAAACTATTGAGTCAGCCTACATCACATCACTTCCTAGTGCATTCCATTTACTAACTACTGATACTGAAAGTTCTTTCTAATGTCAGTTCCCCTGAGAATCTTGTATGTGGTGATCATATCTCCCCAAGCTCTATCTTCCACCTACATGAGGTGCAGTTCACTCGGCCTTTCCCCTTGTAACTCGTGCCTCTTAATTCTGGTATTAGTGTAGTGGCATACCTCTGAATTTTTTCCAGTTTCGTCTTGTGCTTGATAACGTACGGGCTCCATACTGGGGCTGCATATTCTAGGATTGGCCTTACATAGTTAGTATAAAAGTTTCTGAAGCATTCCTTACACAGGTTTCTGAAGGCAGTTCTGATAACCAGCCTCCCATACTCCACCGATATTATTCTTTTGATGTGGGTTTCAGGAGACAGGTTTGGCGTGATATCAACTAGATCTTTCTCGGTTTCGTGAAGAATTTCATCTCCCATTTGGTATCCAGTGTCTGGCCTCCTATTTCCTCCACTTAGTTTCATTACCTTACATTTTTTGGGTTAAACTTTAGTAGCCATTTGCTGGACCATTCATCGGTTTGTCTAGGTCATCCTGTAGCCTCGTACTGTCTTTCTCTGTTTTAATCTCATAATTTTTTTCATCGGCAAACATTGAGAGGAACGAGTATTCTGTGTAGGCAATAGTGGGAATGTTAGAGGCACATAATACTGTAGGCTCGGACTGTAGCCTGCAATTCATTTAACTAAGCACATTAGTCTTGATAAGCAACTTGGTTTGATGTACAGTATATTAGTTTGGGTGCGAGAATTAAAAGTACAATCTCTTGAGCCAAGTAGACCTTGGCTCTACTAGATCTATAATTTTTATTTGCCTATCATGTACACCAATCCCCATCCAGTAGGCAGCAGTGGAGAGGTTAGTGATATTTACTACCTGCAAATACCAAATGGGGTGTAGCAAGTACAAACAATATACTCACTAGTGTCTCATTATCTTAATGGCATAACTAATTAGCACTAACTACACAAACTATAATCCTATCCCTATTTACAGGTAACATTCTTTCCATCCTGGTTGGAGGAAGCCGAGGTGTAGTCACCGAATATAAGCAAGCGAATTGCGAATAGTTGACAATACAATTTCCAGTCAAGAATGTACCACTTGGCGTAGGCAATTCTAATCGACCCAAAGACGCTACAGCTTCAACACAGAACAGACGGCAGACTATGACCGGATAGAGCTACAACGCTCACTCCCCGAGTTCAGACACTCACAATTCCCCATTGAGCCTCCACGCTCTCCCGCATAGAGCTCTGCGACTCCGGCCTCACTCGGCTCTGCTCTGCTCCAAGCTAAGTCTGAACGTCAACGACAATGCCACCGACTACTATAATAAATACCTGTACTGCTAAATAAATATGACTTGCCAAACACTGTGCATTAATCTACCCAGCAACGTAACATAATCGTACATTACAGGGGATATTTCTTGTCACCTAATGCCTCTGTTCACCTAGCAGTAAGTAGGTACCCAGGAGTGAGTCGGCTTATTGTGGGGTTGCATCCTAGGTGGGGTCAGTAATTCAACCATGGGAAGGGGGAGGACCTCTATATGAGCCAAACATTTATGAATACACTTTGGCTGCCTGTCCCCCAACAGACACTTGATCATTAATTTAATTTGGCTAAAATTTCTGGTAGTAGATCACTTTGAATTAAATATTTACATTCCTTGAACATTTGTTAGAGGTCTATAAATTTGTGCATTTTTTTGCACTCCATCACATGGTGATGGAGGGTGAGCATATAATTTTGTTGATTTACATTTGGTAAAGTTTGTTGGCAGGTAATGCAAATTCCCAGAGACTGTCTAAGCTAAGCAGTACTGTGCTGACATAAGGAGACTGCTGACTTTATTGATGATCCTAGCCATAGATGTGTGACTTCTTGTATAAGCAATATAATAATTTTTTATTTGCAAGAAGGTACAATAGGTTGGTGAGATTACATAAGACTAAATGGAAATGCTAATGTAGCTTTCACCTTGCCTCAGACCTATAAAGTTTTGAAGAAGTTCTTGGTGTACTATTGCTCTAAAGTTGGATTCTTTGGCTAACTTGCCAGCTCTCTCCTGCTTAACAAGGTACTCATTCACCACCGGGTGAACAAAAGCTATAGTTAGATTGGCGCCCAGTCAATCCTCCCCAGCCAGGATACGAACCCAGGCCAAAGCGCTTGCAAAGCGCTGGGCGAGTGCCTTACTAATGTGCCACGGGGACTGGCTTTGTCCGCGTTTGTCTTAGTTGAATGCAATTACCTGAATTTACCCAAGGGCCACTAACTCTAGTAGCCTCATTGAGGACAGGAAGCTGGTGGCTTGTCAAGTCCCCCATTTATCCTGATTTTTTCAAACTGGATTTTAAAACTGCAGAGTTTTGGCATTTACAGCTTTGGCAGGTAGGCAATACCCTATAAGTGAAAAAGCATCTCCTGTTTTCAGTCCCACACCATGGCTTGCCCATGAAACCATTACACCTTGTCTGCGTTACATCTGATCTTATGAAATACTTGTCCGGATGAACATCCTCCAAAGTATTCGGTACAGTACAGTATTTTGAATGTTTTGATGAGATCAGCCCCATCATGTTTTTGTAGTGTT